CGTCTGATTCTTTAGCTTGGTTACAAAACCTGACCTCAATGCAATGAAGATATTTACGATATCTATGTCCAGATTGGTTATCAAATTGAACAAGAATATAAAGGAGAGATTCCTTAAGAGTTTCATGAGAAAGCAAAACTCTCTAGTGTAAAGAACAACTTAAATGTGCCTGTGTATATCATATGTATATAAAATATGTAGATAAACAACCATACACCAATACCTTTAATGTGCCTTCATCTTTGGCCCAGCTTCTTTCCAAGAAAAGATACTCAGAAAACCACATTGACCACCCTATGACCTGCATGTAGAAGGCATGCCATTTACTGACAAGAAATAAGGAACGCCCAAAAATAAGGCAAATGAGAATGCTTATGTTAAATGAAATGTAGACTGGATGATAAAAGTGGGGCCACAATACAACATTTGCAGCAAAACCCCAAACCCGCAACTATTACATGAAAATGTATCAAATTAAATTTTTAATAAAGTCTATAATAAAATTGCAATATGGTCTGAAATTAAGTATTCAATGACATCTAAACTTCTAACTATTAATACCTCAGGATCATACCAGACTCACAAACTTCAAATTTTAAAATCTTATCTAAGTTGTTAAGGTTATAAACTAATCTCATTTAAGAAAAGATTAAAAAAAAAAAAAAAAAAAAAAGACTAAAGGACCCCTTGTGGGGCCAACTCTGCATTGTTGTTTAATGATCTGAACCATATGTTTTCTCTCCATTCAAGAATCATCCTGGTAAAAATTGGCCCAATCGAAAACCACCTAACCATCTGATTATCATTACGATTATTTAGGGTTTACCAGAAACACTGTTTTGGTCTATTTATTTGATCACAATTCGACGTTTTAATGATTTTTTATTACGCTATTTTTTCACAAGGATTACTCCTGAATGGAGTCTTAAGAAAATAAATGGCTCAGATATTGAACTACAATTAACAGTAGGTCCCACAAGGGATCCCATTTGTTTGCATTCCTCAATGGAAAAAGCGTCTATGTATGCAATGTCTTCTTGTCAAGACAATGTGGCAACCTAAGATGCTTATGTTATCACACTATGAATCTAGACCACACGTTCAAGCAAGAATCAGCATGATATAGAAAATATCCCTTCTCCATGTAGACACAAACAATGCATATATGTGTGTGTGTGTGTGTGTGTGTGTGTGTGTGTGTGTGTGAACTTAACAGTTTCTGACTTAAAAGCTTCATCTCCACATGCTGACAGGACATCTTAGGGTGGAACATACCGGAAGGAATTTTGATGATTTCTTCATTACAGCTAAGGAGCTTCCAAGGCAACCTGACCGCTGCATGAGTACATTTAGTTCTAAATCAGCAGCATAAAAAAATATAGCACAGCACTAGTCTATATTGTGAACAACTTTTACAAGCACATGTGAATAAATCTCAAATACAACTTTTGTGTGCCTCTACAAATATAATGTAAGCATATCATGAAAACAAACTAACAGATAAAAAAGTACTTTTTGATAATTTATTATATGTATGAATATAAACAGGTTTCTGATATATATATATATATTTGTGCATCATGCATGTGACTGAACTATGATACATAAACAGTGTACCTGAGCCAGAACCCATCCAACAAGCCAATCAATATCACTTCTATGATTGCATATGACAAGTGCATGTTCTTTACCTAGAAAATAAGAAACATGAGCAGATAAATGAACTCTCCTGCATTATTTTGAAAAGGACAATATATACTTAGTCCTAGGCACAAAAACATCAAACAAGAGAGAAAGTTTAAGCCTTACCCATTGAATTAAAGGTTTCATGGTCTGTGTATACTTGAATCTGCAGGAAAAAAAAACAAAGGGGGTTAACTAAATCAAGATTCAGTTAAGTGGACATGGAAAAAAAATAAATTATGGTTCAACTTCGAGTTAAGTGGGCCTTCATATATATAACTTTTCTAGAGGTTCTATATAAATAGGTAAATAAATAGGATGTGTATGCTATTCACCTTTCCATGTTCCTATACTAAAGGTTTTCAACTGTACTGGAAATATAACGACCCAGTAATGCACTCTCCATATTAGTGTGATACCCCACTAGACATATTAGGATATCTTAATCTCTCACTATTCTTTTTTTTCTTGATAAGTTACTCTCTCTCACCACCTTGAAACGGATAAAAAAGACAGTGCACTGTTGCCCTTGGTCTGATAAAACACAAGTAAATTTGTAACCAATCGCCTCTCTCTACCCCCAAAAAGAAAAATATGCAACCAAAACCTAGTTTAGGAATTGATAGCATTTTAGGGATTTATAAAAGCTTATGAGAAGAAAATTTGATCCACATGCTTTGATTTCCTCCTTCAGCATTACATCTTCTAGTCTTTCTTATGGTAGCAATTGCTGCTTTGAATCTTTCAAAAGCCAGCAATTACCTCAATAATTGGTTCGTACAATTTGTATGGGCAAAGATTTTTTTGAAAAATACTTAGTTACAAGCTAGCAGAATAAGTGGGAAAGCACTTAAAAAATGCTCAACATATATTAACTTATTTGCACTTCAAGGAAGTTAAATCAATCAAAACCGCTAAAATCACACGATATGGGGGGCTAGCTAATACCTTAACACCTGCCCACCAATCAATGAGCCACACCAGCTCCAGCCACAATAATTCTGCCACCACTCTGTTTATCCTTCTGTATAAATTCTTAGACACGGGCCGAATAAGAATGAAGCAAATCGCCTGAAACAATGGACCAAGTATGCTAAACAGATTAAAACCTCAAAAGAAAAGAAAATGATTCAATCGATATGATAATTGAACAGAAAAAAAAGAAAAAAAGTGAACTCCTAAATCTCAAATTTTAACTCAGTTTCGAACAATATAATTAAGCTCAATGGGCTCAACAGCATGTGAGATTCAAAAACGAAGTTCTAGAGTTTCGTTTCATCCCCAATTGTTCTCCGAAATCATTGGAATTATACAGGCCAGATTAGAAAGTAGAAACAAAGCCGAGATTCACATGCACGCTGAGAGACGTACGCTGCCCAAAGAACCCCTTGAGAAAGAACAAAACCATAAGGCTAAAATCAATCACTATAAGCAACTTATACTGAACCCCCGGAAAGGAAAGAAGCAAAACCCTCGTAAAATACAGCCCAAAAATTACGAAATCAATTGCAAAAAGATACTGAAAAATGAGTGAACCAAAAACCAAATCTACGCAATTACGAAAATAAAATCCAGAACCATGAAGAGAAAAGCGAGAAGGAGGTGTTTACCTGAATGAGATTGACAACGAGGCCTGAGATGAAGAAGAGCAGGCCCAGTGGGACGACGACAGCTGCAGCAACAATCGGCATGGCCCAAAACCCACAAAGAGGATAGAACGAATTTCACAACACACACAGATTTCAAAATTTCAAATTCCCAAGTGCTCAAAAAGGAATGAAAATTCTTATTTGGAGTTGAATTTAAATTAGAGATTTAACGAGCGAGCCCTATGAAGGCAAGTATCCGGAACTCAGGCACTGTGAGTGAAACGTGTTTGTGAAAATGCGTCACAGAAATGTTGCGCTCTTTAAATGCCGATTCTCATATAATATAACAAGGGAATGAGAAGCACGGCAGTGTGTGAGAAATGGGCTTTCTTTTCTTTTCTGGTTTTGCAATAAAACTCTACGTATTTATTTCTTGAGCTACTCCTTCCTTGGGCTGATAACCAACAAGAGTGGGCATAATATGGTTGGCTTGAATCTCATTGTTGATGGGGTTGATGGGGTTGATGGGGGGTTGGTGGGTCCATGGCCCACATCTTATGAATTTTATCCCAAATAATCAAATATTTGATTTCTTATGCGATCGATGAATCAGATAGTAGATAACAACTTTAAATGCCACACTATTTAGCAACAAGACATGTGAGTTGGCAAACTTTTTTTTTTTTTCTAATACGGTACACGGATGGTTCCAATTAGGGGTGGGCACGGTCCGGATTAGTTCGGTTTTACTCTCAAACCACAGCTGAACCAATAAGAAAATGACAATCCGATTTAGTTTGGATTAGCCTAAAACCATAATGAAAACCGAACCAATCCAAACCAAAGTGGTTTGGATTGGTTCGGCCGGTTTGTGCCTAACACAAAACCATGCATTTTTCAACCTGCTCTTACATTATAATGCTAACATTTTGCCATTATATCATTCCATTTCATCAAAGGCTAACACAACAACATTCCATTTAATCAAAAGCTGTCCAATTTCCAGCATGCATCTAAGTTCACAATTTCCATCAAAACAAACATTCTAAAGTTCATAAGAAATGAATACAAGATGATAAAACTAAGAAATGAAAGGCTGCCCAAAATACAAGTTCATAATTTCCATTTAATCAAAAGCTGTCTAGTTTCCAGCATGCATCTAAGTTCATAATTTCCATCAAAACAAACTTTCTAAAGTTCATAAGAAATGAATACAAGATGATAAAACCAAGAAATGAAAGGCTGACCAAAATACAAGTTGATAATTTCCATTTAATTAAAGGCTGCCCAGTTTCCAACATGTCCTCATACTGCACATAAAAGTAGTTTCAATCAACACAAATTTTAGGATACAAGATGATCAAAATAAGAAATGAATAAGAAAATTACCATAACTGCAAGGTTGTGCATCAATAGAGAATCAATCAGTGAAAATGTGCACAGCCGCATTAACATTTGATCTCCTCATTTCTATATAAGAAATATACATAATCAATATTTAGCTTCAGCACAATAAAACTCACACATTATAAGCAATTAATTGAGAAAAATAGATATACCTGACTCAATGGTTTCATAAAACTCCATCTCCTCAATGGTGGGCTCAACTTTTAAAGAAATTGAAGTGGACTTCAACCAATTTTGTGTACAAATTAAAGCCTCAACCATATCAGGACTCAAGAAACTACGAAATGAGTTAATTGTTCTCCCTCCAGTGCTAAAAGTAGATTATGAGGCAACTGTAGAGACTGGAATTGCAAGCACATCTCTTGCAATGGCCGCTAAATCTGGATATTTAGAAGCATTCACCCTCCACCAATTTAAAATATCAAAGTGTTTAATATCTTGTTTTGCAGCATCCGGCAAATATCTATCTATCTCATGAGATAAAACCACTGCATCTTTATCTTCTTGTCTCCTTTTCCACTTTTCATTCATAGCCTTTTTCCTATCACCTCCAAAGCTTGAGGAGTTAGAACTATCAGTAACTATGCTGCTGCCAATACTTGAGGATGTAGTAGAACTACTACAACTTTGAGTTGGATTACTAACGAAACCTGCCTCGTACAGCCCATAAAGTTTAAACAAAAAATCTTTCACACCAACTGTCTTCTCGGCAACATAAGCATCATTTTCCACATACAAATCAGCAATATGCATTGATAAATTGTCCAATTTATACCTAGGATCAAGAACAACAACTATCAGCAAGAATTGGTTCACACTATCAAGTGATCCCCAATACTTGTCATATTTCAATTTCATATTTTGAGCCATGTTAGATAGAAGAGGATTGCCTACTACACTCATTTTTGCCAATTCACAATCAATTGCAAATAAGTCATGAAAAATAGTATGGGCTGTGGCATGCAAAGTGGCACTACACCTCAAAGTAAAGTCATAAAAACATTTTAAAAACTTGACAAAGACAACAACATTTGCCCAATCCTCCTCAACTGGTGGCATAATCCCTCTACCAAAGTAGCTTTTAAAATGTCCATCCTCATCTTCCAACCTAGAAAAAGCCTTTTTAAATTTCAAAGCAGCTTCTAGCATCATGTAGGTGGAATTCCACCTAGTTGGCACATCCAAGACACCCAAGCCTTTACAATCAATCTTATCTTTTCAATGCAAGATTTAAAAGTTTCTAATCTTTGGGGGGAAGATCTTACATACATGGCAGCATCATGAATACTCTTAACAAAATTATGTAACTCTTTCAAACCATCGGTTACAATGAGGTTTACAATATGAGCATAACATCTCATATGTAAGTGGACACCATCTAACAACACAATGAGATTTACAATATGAGCACAACATCTCATATGTAAGTGGACACCTTCTAACAACAAACCTCCATTCGACCAATCCTTCATCCTACTTTGCAAATAAGATACAGCTTTATCATTTGCAGATGCATTATCTAGGGTAATTGTGAGTACCCTCTCTATACCCCAATCAATCAAACACTTCTCAATAAGTCTGCCAATTGTCCTACCCTTGTGATTTTGAATTACGCAGAAATTCAACACACGCTTATGCAACATCCAATCACCATCTAGGAAATGTGCAGTGAGAACCATATAGTTTATATTTTGGACAGAAGTCCATGTGTCAGTAGTAGGGCAAACTCTATATGCAGCTAACTTTGCTTTCAAAGTTGCTTTTCATCATAGTAAAGTGCAAGCAATCTCTAGCAAGTGTTCTACGAGATGGCGGTATAAACCTAGGGCATGCAACACTACAAAAGTGATGAAACCCTTCTCCATCTACGAAACTAAATGGCAACTCATCAATAATAACTATCCTAAGACATGCTTTCCTAGATTCTTCCTTATTAAATCCCGTTGCCCCAAGAGCAGTAATACTTCCAGATTGGTCCTTGGCAAAAGTTAGGACCTTTTGGTTTGAACCAGGCACCCTATATGGGTATTTTTTGTGTGCATAAATTAGTAATATGAGTTCTCAAACTTGATGTCCCACAAGTTGCTGGATCATATTTATAGTCAACAGTTTTGCAATACTTGCATCTAACCCTAATAGGTTTAGAAGGATTACCAGTTTGATATTGTTCAAAGTGATTCCATACCTCACTTCAATACTACAAAATAGTTAAACAACGACACAAAATAGACGACGTTGCATCTATAAACCATCGTCATGTTTTAAAAGACGACAGTTTTATAAAACCGTCGTTGTATATTACCTTACACACTGCTAAAATGGGTTTGATTTTAAAAACACGACGCTTGTCAATTAACAAGCGTCATCTTTCAAAATGCGCTAAACGAAAAGCGGCACTTAAGGGAATTCGCGATTTAAATATTCAGATTTCTCCCCATTGCTCGAAAAAATCTCTCCCTCCTTTTGAAACCCTCAACAACTCTCTGGATCTCCCTCAACCCTCTTAAACACTCCTTCTCACCTCTGAAGCACTCATCTCTATAATATTCACTACCATCGTCACCAAGCTTGCTAGCGTAGGAATCGGAGTTTGCGATTTAACATTCTAGGCCACTTGAGCCCCTTGGATGCCATCGACACCGTGCTCGCTGGCATAGGAGGTCACAATCTCTTCCTCTTCTTCTTCTCTCTAGCTATGGTTTCATTGTATGCATCAATTTAGGGTTCTTCAAGTTGGACTAGTTTTTATCAATTAATTTTTGGGGGTTAGGGTTTTCGATGTCTGATTTTTGGTTTAATAATTCGTGTCCGATGCGATTAGTATCAGATCTAGTTGGATCGTCGACATGCCTCGACTCCGGCTGAGGAAGAGAAGCCGGACAAATATGAAATTCCACCATCCCCTGCTCCCCCCCACCCCCCAATACAAGGCTAAGCTTGATGAGTCCAAAGCTTTTGCTGTTATTGAGGGTAAATTTCTCCAAATCTCCCTTACTTTATTGAACTTTGTTTTTGTTAAAGATATAACTTCTATATGCTTGGCTGTGAGAATATGATTTTCCTATTCTTGATGTCTTGGGACTTGTTTGAAATATATGTTCTGTTTGTAAATGGAAGATCCTATACACAAACATGAGAGACTTTGTTCTCAGCACTGTTCTCAGCTCTTCCTTGTCCATGGTTCTGCTGCCCAAGTACATTGGTGGCCTAAAGACCATTGGTGTGCATAAAAAATACAACAACCACAAATTTGGATACAAATTTGGATTTTACCCATCCTCACTGAGGAATTAAAACCATCTTCACTTTGGGTCTTGATCGGTTCATAATTGTATATCATTTTGTACCCTTCTAGCTTATGATTTGGTTATGTTTTTGAGTTAAACTTGTGCTTTTAATCCTTTTTGTGTTTATCTTTCAGCTTTAGGTAACAATGATGGCTTTTGATAGGAAATGATGCAATCCATGCATGTTAAAGCCTGATTTGGATAAAGGGAAGAAGTGCTTAAAGACAAACTCAATTTTGGCTACAGCCCCCTGCCAGTCCAGTTTCGTAGGTCATATTGTAAGCTTTGTTTCAGCAACCTACATAGCTCGGATGAGGCAACATTCTTCATGAATGTTGTTTCAATGGGTGTGTACTATAACATATCCAAAATTCAG